ACTTACCGCCAAGGTTTAAATCTTTAAAAAATCGCAAAAAAAGTTTTTTTTGCCTTAGTTCACAATCTTTCCGCGAGGGTTCAAATCTTGGAAAAAAAGATTTTTTTTCCAAGGTTCAAATCTTGATAAATTGGAAAAATATAAATTTTTTTGACAAAGTTTGCGAGCTTCTCGTCAAGGTTAACTGAAAATTAAAAAAAAAATGATTCTTAAATGATTTTAAAAATTGATTCCAAAATCAATTTTTTTTTAATTTTATAGAATTAGAAAATTTATTAGATTTTCTAAAAAAAAATAATAGAATTTGTGTTTTTAAATAAAAATAGTCTGGTTATGACGGTATATTTTATTAAAAATTAAATGCATGATAAAGTAAGAAAAAAATCTTTACGTTTTTTTCATTTATTTGGAAAATTCAAAACTGTACACATTTTTTATCTACTTATTTTCATACTTAGAAAAATTTTATTTTGTAATGACATTTTTTTACAGATAATATTTTAGTAAAAAAAAAAAATTTGAAACAACCAGGAATCGAACCCACGATTTTTGGGTTAGCAGTTGAGTGCAGTATCCACTTGTCTATTAGACCTTGTTTCGGTTATCTTCAAGCAGATAATATTTAAGGAACGAAAAGTTTTTCGTTCCAAAAAAAAATTGATTCTGAAATCAACCCAAAGGTTGATTCCAGAATCAATTTTTTTTAATTGAATAAAATTAAAGAATTTATTAGATTTCCTGAGAAAATTAAAATATTGTCAAATTTTCTTTAAAAAAAGATAATATAATTTGTGTTGTTTAATGAAAACAGACACCAGATGGCAGGTTATGACGGTCGTTTTTTTCAAAAATTGAAAATTCATGATGTAGAGAAAAAAAAATTTTTACGTTTTTTTCATTTATTTGGAAAATCCAAAACTGTACACATTTTTTATCTACTTATTTTCAAACTTAGAAAAATTTTATTTTGTAATGACATTTTTTTACAGATAATAATTTTAGTAAAAAAAAAAAAATTTGAAACAACCAGGAATCGAACCCACGATTTTTGGGTTAGCAGTTGAGTGCAGTATCCACTTGTCTATTAGACCTTGTATTGGTTATCTTCAAGTAGATGATATTTAAGGAACGAAAAATTTTTCGTTCCAAAAAAAAAATTGATTCTGAAATCAACCCAAAGGTTGATTCCAGAATCAATTTTTTTTAATTGAATAAAATTAACGAATTTATTAGATTTCCTGAAAAAATAAAAATATTGTCAAATTTTCTTTAAAAAAAGATAATATAATTTGTGTTGTTTAATGAAAACAGACACCAGATGGCAGGTTATGACGGTCGTTTTTTTCAAAAATTGAAAATTCATGATGTAGAGAAAAAAAAATTTTTACGTTTTTTTCATTTATTTGGAAAATCCAAAACTGTACACATTTTTTATCTACTTATTTTCAAACTTAGAAAAATTTTATTTTGTAATGACATTTTTTTACAGATAATAATTTTAGTAAAAAAAAAAAAATTTGAAACAACCAGGAATCGAACCCACGATTTTTGGGTTAGCAGTTGAGTGCAGTATCCACTTGTCTATTAGACCTTGTATTGGTTATCTTCAAGTAGATGATATTTAAGGAACGAAAAATTTTTCGTTCCAAAAAAAAAATTGATTCTGAAATCAACCCAAAGGTTGATTCCAGAATCAATTTTTTTTAATTGGATAAAATTAAAGAATTTATTAGATTTTCTAAAAAATTTAAAATAGTAAGATATTGTCAAATTTTCTTTAAAAAAAAATAATATAATTTGTGTTGTGTAATGAAACCAGACACCAGATGGCAGGTTATGACGGTCGTTTTTTTCAAAAATTACAAATTCATGAAAAAGAGGAAAAAAATTATCTTTTTTCGTTTCTTTAATGATCGAAAAACCTGCAAATTTTTTTTTTAAGGAATTTTTTACCCATTAATTTTTTTTTTGAAATAAATTTTTTTTACAGATAATAATAATAATTAAGAAAAAATTTTTTATCGAAAATAAATTGATTTGAAATCAATTCAGAGATTGATTCCAGAATTAATTCTTAATTATAAAATATTAGTTTATTTATTACTCTTCAAAAAAAAAAAAAATTACGTAAACAATTTAATATCAACAAATATTTTTAAAAGGAAAAAAATGTAAACAAACTAACCCTACTTAACCTGGAATTTTTTTTTTATTTTTTTTTTCTTCACTTACCTTGAATTAAACAAATCGCAGAAAACATCTGGTATTCCATTTTGGGTTAATTTTATAAATTCACTTCACTTTTTTATTTCACAATTACTTTTTTAATTTAATAATTTTGTAAACATTTTCTGTTTACATTTTCAAATTAAATCACGAAAGTTTCTAGTAACTTTCTCTTAAACTAACCAATCACAACATTTCGTTCAATGGGAAGTTAGCCTTTTGTTTTTTTACGGAATACATTACGGATAACAAAAATGACGTCATAATTATTCTTATTTTTATACATTTGCCAATTTTATTTATTCGAAATTGGTTAACAATTTTCAATTTTTAACCAAATGGTCCCTCTTAGAATTTTTTTCTCTATCGATCTATAAGAGGTTGTCCACGACTTCCCAATCACGCTGTATATACATATATGTGTGTGTGTGTATATTCAAGTAAAATATGCCAATTTCGTGATATGTATATATGGAGTATTTCACGTAATATTTACCTATGACCTTTTAAATTCGGATAAATATTTTTTTTTCGTGTACAGAAAAAAATGGTACACATATTTTTAAGCTACAGTGGAACCTCGATTATCCGAACCGTAGAACATTTTATTCGAACTTCTGTTATCTGAATTTTTTTTCCTTCTCAAATCTTAAATTTTTTTTTCATTTTTAAAATTTCATCATTCAAATTTCGCTAAATTTCTAAAAATAACCCAGATTTTTTAAAATTCAGAACTCAAAATCGCTCATATATATACGTTTCGTAGAAATTAAGTGCATGCAATGCAAATTTCAGAAAAATCAACGCAAATCACAAAAAAAATATATTCTAAATATTTAATTTAAAACGTGTCATATTGAGTGCTTTTTTTCATGTAAAAATACAAATATTGAATATTAGAAAAATAAAAAAAAAATTTTATGAAATAAAATATTTAAAAAATCGCCAGGTTACAATTAATTTTTTTTTTATAAAAATAATATATTTCAAAAAAATGTATTCATCGAAAAAAATTGCAGGTCAAATATTTATATAAGATAAATTTTAATAAAATATAATACTCGATTTTTTTTTTGTCGGTTTCCTTTTATTAATTGGAAAAAAATTTTAACTGTAAAAGAAAAAAGAATAATAAAAATTTTATTAAAAAACTTATCACGTTTTGGTGATTTGGAAGTCTTGGAAGAAATGATTTTCTAAATATGTCGAGTAAAAAGTATATAATGTAAATGTGATGTGAAAATTCCTGAAATTCTTAATTTGAACACATTTTGCATTCGCATTTTTTTTTCTTTCTCTGCAGCTTTAAAAACCATATGTGCTCTAGTTTTATTCGGCGCATTTTTTCTCGCATATAATATTTTTTCTTCTATTTTTTAATCTATATATTTTTTATATCCCTCCCAAAGGATTTCCATCCTCGTAATTAAGATTTAGGTCGATTTTCGCCATTTCTTAAAGTACAATTTAAATTTACCTACTCTAAAAATCTGCCGAGTGGAAAATTTCACTCTTTAAAGTATAGGAAGAAGTCTTTTTATAGGGCATTTGATTAAAGTGAGTTACTTAAAGCTTCACTAAAACGAATTATATGAGAGTTTTTATTCGTCTATTGAGCGGAGAAATTTTTACGATTTTTTATTTTTTTCAAGAGAATTGGTAACTGTTATTAAATTGTTTGTGAAAAATTTTCTATAATATTCTTCAATTTTCTCTTAAATTTACATTTAATTTTACATTTAATTTTACGTACAATTATGCACTTAATTTTACACATGAAATTTACATTATAATATAGATTTTGAGATTATTCATATTTTTTTAAATTTATTATTATATTTCCACTCAAAAGACGTGATTTCTACTCATTTTATTTTAATATTGCCAGACGCCAAGTTATTTTATGGAAAATAACTAAACCAGAAAATAGTTAAATAACTCAAGTAAATGTTTATAATTTTACATAGGAAAAACCCAGCTCAGGAATTCTATTATTACTTTACAGCAATAATGGAATTTAGAAAAGATCAAAATTGGCAAAAGGCCGAAAGACAAAATTTATATTTTTAATTTTATTAATTATGATATTAATACTAATGAGATCGATTTGGAAGGAAAAACGACTCATAATAATTATTTTGGGACTCGCCGGCCATTTGAATGATGACAACGACGATCATCGCCTCATACAACAATTATTAATTTTACATTTTAAATTTTGAAATATTTCACCAAAAGAGAATGACACTAACTCGACGAACACCAGGATGAGAATGAGAGTAAAATGTCCGACGAGTCAAACTCAAAAGCGTCGGTAATCAGCGACCTCTCTTCTCGGCGTCATTTAGATTAATTAATATTCAATACAATATCCACAATCGATGCGCCGCCGTCGGTAACATAGATCCCTGAGCTATCTAATGTTGAATTGATTGATGTGAGATGTCCATAGGAAAATGGCTGCCAGTAATATTTAACAGATCGTCAACTAAACAACATTTTCGTCTTCCTGGTGTTCTTGAATATTCGGATCTCACATCCAAATATATAAACCAGGAAGCATTTGATGACTTCTAATTTCAATTAAAGATAGTGATGTCCTTAATGTCTTTTTAATCAGTCGAGAATCCTCTATGCCTCGCGAGAGTTTTTCATTACAAAACAAAAGGACAAATCAGAATCGATATTTATTTTATTATAGATTGACTATTAATCTGACGACTTTGCACGGAGAAAACTGGAGTGTTAAATTTTCAATGTTAAAAATTTATTTAGTCAATCTTATCTTCTTAATAATAATATTTATATTTTTTCCTTTGTGAATGGTACACTTATTGCATTATTTGTTTTACACTCCTGGAAATTTAAACTAATTATTTCGAAAGTTAATTATGTAATACGTAAGTACAACAGAAAAATGAATATCGATAAATAAATTTAAAAATTTGTGATTTGTGCTAAGTGTGGTTATTGTCACGTAACAGAACATGGCAATTTGTTAATAACAATTTTACTTAAAATAAAATATAATTAAGATGTTTGATCAAATTATGTTTTAAAAAAGTTTTTTAAGAGTTTTAATTATAGATTTTTTTACTTATAAAAAAATTAATTTATAAATATGATTGTTTACTTTTTCAATATTTTTAATTTCTTCTAGAAAGATACAAAATTTACAATATTTAAAAGTATTATGTAATTTATAAAAAATTATTAAAATTTATAAAAATTTAACATTTTACAGCCAATTATGGCTGGATTCCCTCTGTGGTGTCGTTTATTTACTAAATTTCTAATAATTTATATTATTTTAGGTTATTTGTACCCAACAAAATGCCGTGATAAAACATTTAATTTTAAATTTAAAGTTACACTTAATTTTACAATTAATTTGACGCTTAATTTGATACTTAATTTGAAACTTTAATTTACACTTAATTTTACACTTAAAATAATAAATAATTTTTGTTTGTTAAATAAAATTGAAAAGAAAATTTTTCACACTTTTCAATTTGATATCAGTTGACCACAAAGTTTCTGACAATTCCCATAGAAATGAACATGATGCATTGTGACAATTTAATCTTGCACTGACCAGGATTAAGCTCTACACACACGTATTTTAGTTTCTACAAGCATAAATTTGTTAGTATTAGTTTCTATATATCTGTTTGAAAATTTATATATACAAAGTTACGTCTAGCAGAAACAGAATTGCTCTTACTGTTAATCGAAGCAGAAATATCTTTCGAATACAAATTGTCATAATAATAATAATAAGTCTATTACCTATAAAAAGAAATTTAAAAAAAAATGAGTAATAAAATTGTGTCTAATAATTGAACGTTTTTTTCAACTATTGCTTTGGTAATTAATCACTAATTAATACGTTAATAAAAATTTTGTAATTAATAAAAATTACTATACTTATATTAAAAAATTTATTAATTTAATAATAATGATAATAATAATAATAATTGTTAAAATTGTATTATTATTTTTCTCCCTTGACTAAAATTGACATTTACTACTGTTAAAAAAATTACAATAATTCCCAAAAGTTTATCTCACTAAAATGCCATCTTTTACTACTGGATACTAAAACTCCGAGTGTTTTAAACGATTCAACATAACTGCATTTTTACTGCTAATACTTAACAAACAAGCATTTAAAATTCTATGTCTGAATGAAAATATCTCTTTTATTACTGTATACTAAAATTATAGAAATTTGAGATAGCTAGGTCTAAATAAAACGTACATTTTCGTGTTAATTCAAAAAAATAAAAAATAATTTTGTCTATTTAAAAAATTGTAATATTTTTAGTATTGTTCACAAACATATTTGAATGTATTGTGAAATAATTTAAAATATTTTTTCTAACTATGTACCATATTCAAATACTCAATTACTTGACTATTATCAAATAAATATTTACTTGAACCAAATAATTTTGATTTGAATTATTTAAATTGAATCAATTAAATGGTATTTATTTCAACCTTAGCGGATAGTATGATGCGAATGCTCCACGAAATTAACGGAGCATTCGTAGAACACGAGGTTGAGATTGAAATTTTGTCTCAAATATATATAAAAAAATAATGAAATATATAGTTAAATGATTAAAACAATAAGATTTATGCTTTTTATGATGATTATTGTTAAGTAGTTATAAAAGTTTAATATTTTTATTAATTTCAATGTATTACAGTTTATTAATAAACATTTTTCGATAAAATCAATATAGCCGCGCTTTTTAGAAGGTAAGTGGCAGCACTCTTTTTTTCCTTTCTTTAAATTTTCCAGTAATTTTTTTTATCAAAAGCAAATCTTTTATTTGTTAAACTGAAATATTGGTCAAAAAAGTGTATTACTTTATCAAACAAGTTAATATTTTAATAAAAAATATTGATTTCATTTATGTCCACTCTTTATTTAGAGAATCAAAAAGTACGCCATATATTTTTTGTTCAAAACTTTCTTCTAATGACTTTGCTGGTATTCCGAAGCAATTATCTCAAAAATTTAATTTTTTGAAAATTTTTACAAAATATTTTTGAGTGTAGCTCAGCATCCCTTGGACCAATCAGAAAAATGATTAAAAAATTTTTTGTTCAGAACTTTCTTGTAATAACATTGGTGGTATTCCGGAGCAATTATCTCGAAAATTATGCCAAAATTTTTTTGACTATAGCTCAGCATCCGCTGAATCAATCAAAAAGTGCGCTATACATTTCTTGTTCGAGACTTTTTGCTCAATTTTTTGGCAATATTCCCGAGACAATATCTCGCAAATTTTATTTTCCGTAAATTTTTCCCACAATTTTTTGAGTATAGCTCAGCATCCGCTGGACCAATCAAAAAGTGCCCCATACATTTCTTGTTCGAGACTTTTTCCTTATTTTTGTGGTCTTATTCCGGATCGATTATCTAACAAATTTAATTTTTCGAAAATTTTTACAACATTATTTTGAGTGTAGCTCAGCATCCGCTGGACCAATCAAAAAGTGCGCCATACATTTTCTGTTAGAAACTTTTTCCCTATTTTATTGGCGGTATTCCGGAGCTGTTATCTCGCAAATTTAATTTTTCCAAAATCTTTTTGAGTGTAGCTCAGCATCCGCTGTACCAATCAAAAAGTGCGCCATATATTTTCGGTTCTAAACTTTTTGACTATTTTTTTGGCGGTATTCCGGAACGATTATCTTGCAAATTTAAATTTTTAAAATTTTTCCAAATTTGTTTTCTAGTGTAGCTCAGCATCCGCTGGACCAATCAAAAAGTGCGCCATACATTTTTTATTCGCTACTTTTTGCTAAAGACTTTGGCGGTATTTCCAAACGATTATCTAGCGAATTTAATTTTTTAAAAAATTTTTCCAAATTATATTTGAGTGTAGCTGAGCATCTGCTGGACCAATCAAAAAGTGCCCCATATATTTTTTGTTCGAGACTTGTTGCTCAATTTTTTGGCATTAATTCCGAGACATTATCTCGCGAATTTAATTTTTGGTAAATTTTCCAAATTTGTTTGCTAGTGTAGCTCAGTATCCGCTGTACCAATCTAAAAGTGCGCCATACATTTTTTGTTCGCTACTTTTTGCTAAAGACTTTGGTGGTATTCCTGAACGATTATCTCGCAAATTTTATTTTTCGAAAATTTTTTCCAAGATTTTTTGAGTGTAGCTCAGCATCCGCTGGACCAGTCAAAAAGTGCCCCATACATTTTATGTTCAAGACTTTTTGCTCAATTTTTTTGGCATTAATTCCGAGACATTATCTTGCAAATTTAAATTTTTAAAATTTTTCCAAATTTGTTTTCTAGTGTAGCTCAGCATCCGCTGGACCAATCAAAAAGTGCGCCATACATTTTTTATTCGCTAGTTTTTGCTAAAGACTTTGGCGGTATTTCCAAACGATTATCTAGCGAATTTAATTTTTTGAAAATTTTTCCAAATTATTTTTGAGTGTAGCTCAGCATCCGCTGGACCAATCAAAAAGTGCGCCATACATTTTTTGTTCAGAACTTTCTTCTAATCACTATGGCGGTATACCCGAACGATTATCTAGCGAATTTAATTTTTTGAATATTTTTCCAAATTATTTTTGAGTGTAGCTCAGCATCCGCTGGACCAGGCAAATAGTGCGCTATAAATTTTTTGTTCGCTACTTTTTTCTTAAGACTTTGGCGGTATTCCCGAACGATAATCTTGGAAATCTAATTTTTCAAAATTTTTTCTGAACTTTATTTAAGTGTAGCTCAGCATCCGCTGGACCAATCAAAAAGTGCGCCATACATTTTTTGTTCAAAACTTTTTCCGTATTTTATTGGCGGTATTCCCGAACGATAATCTCGCGAATTTAATTTTTCTAAATTTTTTACAAATTTGTTTTCTTGTGTAGCTCAGCATCCGATGGACCAATCAAAAAGTGCGCCATACATTTTTTATTCGCTAGTTTTTGCTAAAGACTTTGGCGGTATTTCCAAACGATTATCTAGCGAATTTAATTTTTTGAAAATTTTTCCAAATTTGTTTTCTAGTGTAGCTCAGCATCCGCTGGACCAATCAAAAAGTGGGCCATACATTTTTTGTTCAGAACTTTCTTCTAATCACTATGGCGGTATTCCCGAACGATTATCTAGCGAATTTAATTTTTTGAAAATTTTTCCAAATTATTTTTGAGTGTAGATCAGCATCCGCTGGACCAATCAAAAAGTGCGCCATACATTTTTTGTTCGAAACTTTTTCCCTATTTTATTGGTGGTATTCCGGAGCAGTTATCTCGCAAATTTAATTTTTCGAAAATTTTTCCAAAATAGTGTAGCTCAGCATCCGCTGGACCAATTAAGAAGTATTATAGTATTTGCGAAATAATCGCTCGGCAATATAGATTTTTTGACAAATTAAGATTTAAACTGCTCTATTAAAAAAGATTTTTATTCGTGGCGTTAAAAATTAAAAATGGAGAAAAAATTACATTTTTTAAATTAAAAATATTTAGTCCCATCCTGTAACTAAAGATTGGATAGTAATGAAAAAAAATTTGTAATGAAGTTATTGCTTGAAATGATTAATTTTTTCTATTTAAAATATTGTTAAAAAAATAAAATTTTTTTAAATATATGGCGAAAAAAATATTCATTTTGAAAGGAAATATTCATGAAAAAAATAATTGTTTTATCAAAATTATTGTTTAATTATTGTCAATTAAAACATTAAATTTTTATAACTATTTGACAATAATTATCATAAAAATCATAAATCTTATTGTTTTAATCATTTAACTATATATTTCATTATTTTTTTTATATATTTGAGACAAAATTTCAATCTCAACCTCGTGTTCTACAAGTGCTCCGCCAATTTCGTGGAGCATTCGCATCATACAATCCGCCAGGGATAAATACAGAAATTATTGATTCAAATACTATTTAATTGATTCAAATAATAATTATTTGATACAAATAAATATTTATTTAATAATAGTCAAGTATTTTAGTATTTCGAGTCTAAATTTTTGAAAGTTTGAAATTTTAATCTTATGAATTATTATAATCTTCGATGGATTAAAGCGTTGCCTTTTATTTTAATTCACATTTGTTTGTAAAATAATACCTCACAATTTACTGTGTATGAAAATTTTCCACAGTAGATCTGTCGAAATTTTTGTGATGTCTAATTAAAAATTTTCGAATATTTATTTATCAAAAATAAACAAATAATTCGGACTTTTAAAAATTTGAATTTTTGATAATTCAAATTTTTTAAATTCGATAATTTAAAATCGTTTAAAAATTTTTTAAATTTGATTTATGAATAATTTGGATTTTTAAAAATCCGTTCTTTTAGTAATTCTAACTTTGAAAAATTCAATCTTCTTAGAATTCAGAATTTTAGCAATTTGAATTTTTGGTAATTCATACTTTTAGAATTTTGATTTTTTTGGAAATTCGTACTTTTAGAAATAATAATTTATTTCATATATCTTTTGAAATTTAAGGCTATTATTTAAGTTGGCCATTACCATTCTTGCTGTCAAAAACATGTTTTCATTTTTATAACCTAAAAATTATGTTGATTGCCAACTGTCGACAAAAAATTTATTTTAGGTGAACTTATATTTAAAAAAAAGAAACATTCTACCTAAGAAGATATAAAATTTTTATTTTCAATAACAAAACAAATTTTTTTTTATAATTTCAACAATATTTACAAGCTGAAATTATAGGAACAGTGGAACACGTAAAATAAATTTTTCTCGACAGTTGGCAATAGATGCGCGCGCATCGTCTCCTCCTAAAAAATCGTTTAACTATTGTGGAAGCAGCCTAATGTGGGGAATTTTTAAGCATCCCTTTATTTTTATTTGTTCTTAAACGTGTTAACTTTTTAAAAAAAAATCATAACATCCATAATTTTAATCAAAAAATTACAAATCCCAAATAGAAATTTTACAAGAAAAAAGGTTTTAAAAAAAAAATTGTTTTTAACAAATATTTTCAATATTTTTGTTACAGTGTAGCGGACACGAGGTGAAATGTTTCACTGGTGGTCCAAGAAAAAGTAACGAATCCCAGTGTCCGATGTTGCAAAAAAGTGAAAAATTAGCAACATCATCAACAACAACAACTCCATTGTCAGCTGGAAAATCAATGAATAATCGTAATCATCAAAACAGTACAATTAGCGTAACAAATTCACCGCATCAAAAGAAACTTAAACAATTGGCTAAAGAAAGAAAGGCAAGCAGAACACTTGGTATTATAATGAGCGCCTTTATTATTTGTTGGTTACCATTTTTTTTTCTTGCATTAGTCAAACCATTTATCAAAGATCCACAATCAATACCAATGTTTGTATCGAGTATATTTCTTTGGCTTGGCTATTGTAATAGTCTTTTGAATCCAATTATTTATGCAACATTGAATAGGGATTTTCGTAGGCCCTTTAAAGAAATTTTATTTTTTCGATGTAGCAAACTTGATCTTATGATGAGGGAAGAATTTTATCATAGTCAATATGGTGATCCTGAAAATAAATATATTAGATCAGGTGATGAAATTGGAGTTCATCGTGGCGATAATCATTGTGTTGAAGCCATTGATGTTGCACCCAACACACCTAATGAAAGTTTTCTATGATCCAAGTGAAGTCGATTATCACTGTTATTCAAATAATCTTCTAATAATATAATATATCGAAAAAAAGAAGCATATTCTATAAGTATATAGAAAATATGAGGATTATTATTTTTTTCATCTGATGGCAATTTTTCATTTTTTTTTAAATTTAATTTTAACTACATATAAAGGTATTTTATTTTATTTAAAAAAAAAATTAACTGTAACTTAACCTCAAAATAAAAAATGGTTAAAAGACCGAAAGAATTCCATTTAATTTAAAACCCCTCATACAACAGTTTTTATGGTCGCTGAATGCAAATCTGATGTTAGTTTTCCAAAATTAAAAATGGCGGATTCAAAATGTCGGACAAAAAAATTTTTAAAATCGATCGAAATTGCTTGAAACTATTTTATCGTGAGTTCTTTGGCCGCTGATTGCGAATCAAAAAAACAATAAACACACGGAAAAAAATATTTTCCTGAAACAGCGAAAAGTTTCACTAGAATAGCGAAAGATTTAACTAAAACAAGTAAAACAAATTCAAGTTATAGTAATTTATTTCAAAACAAGTTGGTTTAAATAAAAATTTGATTAAACAACTTAAAATTCGTAATCAGCGTCCAGAAAAACCGCCCCGAGAAAAGGGTTTCAAGACATTTGGATCGATTTTAAAAATTTTGCCCACCATTTTGAATTTTGGAAAACTAACATCAGATTTGCATTCAGCGATCATAAAAACTGTTGTATGAGGTGTTTTAGATTAAATGGAATTCTATCGGACTTTTAATTCAGGAATTTATTTTTAAATTTCCGAACTTATTGCCATTTATGCGCCATATTGGAGTCGCCATTTAAAATTCCAAAAAACGCCACTTGGCATTCGAAAGTATAAAAATTTACGAATTTTTTAAGCCCCAGAACAAATTGCAATTTTTATCTAATTTTTATAAATAGTAGTTTATTTTGAAATATTCTCTACAATCGTAAGTTTTTCACGATTTTTTTTTCTGAAGCCTAAATTAAAATTATTTTCTTTAAAAAAATTATTAAACATCAAATTGTTTTTAGTTTTTATTAAATTATTTTTTAAAGAAACTATTTTTAACATTGGAAAAATTTCGATTTTAAAGAATGTTTCAAGGAATAAAATAAGTTATTGTTTATTTTCCAAAATTTATTGTAATTAATTTTTATTATATTATATTTTAGTTTACGTTAAAAATATATATTTTAAAATCATTTTTGAGGTTATGTTACATTCATCTTCTTAAAAGATTCAATCAAATAGAAATATTTTTTATCAAAAAATTGTGGGATAATAAAAATTCTGCTTAATGGAAATTTGACATAAAATCTATTTAAATCAAAATTCAATTCACTGGAAATTCGATTAAATGGAAATTATATTAAATAGAAATTGTGCTTAATAAAAAATAAATTCTGCTAAATAAAAATTTTGTTTTATAAAAATTCTGTTATCAAGAAAAATTAAATATAAATTTAATGAAACAAAAATTCGGTTAAATGGAAATTTTTTTAAATAGAAATTGTGCTAAATAATAATTCTGCTTAATAAAAATTCTGTAACGTAGAAATTCAGTTAAATAGAAATTTAGTTAAAAGAAAATTCGATTAAAAAATTCTTCTTAATTTCGATAAAGGAAAATTATACTAAAAATTTTGTTAAATAGAAATTCGGTTAAATGAAATTTTGTTTTACTTAAATTCTGGATATTTGATATAATCGAAATTTTGTAAAATAGAAATTTTGCTTAATGAAAATTCCGTTGAATCAGAATTAAAATGGACTAAAAATTTGGTTAAATAGAAAGTTTTTAAAATAGAAATTCTGTTTAATAATAATTTTACTAAATAAAAATTCAGTTGCATTAGAAATTTAGATAAAAATTTGGTTTAATAGAAATTTGGTTAAAAAAAATTTTTAAACAACAATTCCATTGAATAAAATTTTTACTAAAACTGTATTGTTAGTTAAATAAAAATTCATTTAGATGAAAATCTCTTTTTAAATTTACAAATTAAAAATTTCTAACTATTTAAAAAATAGTTTAAAATGAAAATTTTTAGCGTTATTAGTTAGAAATTCGTGTTGATCACAATTTTTCAAAATAATTTATTAAAATTTAATCTTATTGAATATAATTTTTATTTTAATAAAATTTTCTATATATATTCAAAAAATTGTCAATCACTTGCAATAAAGTTTTTAATTTCGAAAACTTTTAACTTTAAGAAGTCACACTTGTACGCTCTTTTAAAGTTGTTTAAAACAATTGAATGGACTTTTGTATGCGAGAAAAAAAAGTTTTATAATGAAAAGGAGGTTTTTAAAAATCTATTCTTTTTTAAGGTGTCGAGAAAAATCTCAAAAAGAACATTTTTTTCTCAAGTATATAATTTATATGACTTACAAATTTTTTTCGAATTTTTTTTTTATTTCTACTTTTGACCCACAACAATATAAGAGGTCAACTCAAGTGTCATGAGATGAAAAAAATATATAATCCTTAATTTTTCTAGTGGGGAAAAAATTTTTCAAGATCGTGAAAAATTCTTATAATTAAATATATAGTGAAAAAAAAACTTTTGCAGTGTGACTAACACTATATTATATATATATATCATGAATTGGAACAATCAAAAGAACTATTTTGCAAGTATATAGTGAAAGAAATGCTGTTTAAAAAAAAAAAAATTATATATATATAACAATCAATTTAGATAAATTTTAATGGCGCTGGTACGAACAATACTTAAAAATGGAAAGTGACTATTCAAATCAAAGTGAATTTATCAATATAATAATGAATATTGATAATGTAAAAAAAAAAAAAAATTCGCTGTTTAGAAAAATTGTGAACTTTGTAGAGAAATGCGATATCTCTAAAGTGAGAAAAAAAAAAAAAAACTTCAAAGTAGTCAATAATGTAGTCAAAAAATGGGTCAAGAATGAATATTCCTATATCTTCTATTTCCCGTTATTATTATATGTATATTAATGAGTGGAAAATCACAACTGACATAATTTTTTGTAAAATATTGAATTTTCATTTATCAAATTTATCAAATTAAATTGGTACTGATAGTTTTTAAGAAAATTTGTTTTTTAAAAATAAATAAAAATTTTAAGTATTAATAATGTTTGTACAATCTTCTTAAATTATTGTACATATTTGTATATATAAATATATTATTATTAATTATAATTATTACTAAAATTGAGAAAATATACCTATATTTAATTATGATAAATTTTTCCAAATTTGGAAAATTTAAAAAAAAATCGTATCATACAAAAGATTCTGATTTATCTAAATAGATTTTATTCGTTATTATTGTTTATCGAACAATGTTTATGAAAATCTAATAATTTATTTAGAATAAGAATTTTTTTTTTTTAAAGTAATAAAGAAAATTTTAATGTATTTTAAAAAAGGAAAAATTCATTGCATAAAAATGTTTAAATCTTGTTAATTTTGAATTTATTATATTAAAATAAATTATTTTTTCATAAATATTTTGTGAAACTATTTATAATCGTTAAATTATAAATAAATATTTAAAGTTTAATAAAAAAAAAAAAAAAAAAAAATTGTAATGATTCGTTAAAATTATTATTATTATTGAATTAAAATTATTTTATCAAAAAAAAAAAAAAAGGAAAATGATTTTTTGACAAAAATTAATTAATTTGCATACTAAAGAAGAATTTTTTAAGATTCATAGAGTATAAAGAGTATAAATAAAAATTGTAAACATTATTTAAAAAGACTTTTTTTGTCGTCATTGTCGTCGTTGTTGTCGTCAGTTGAAAGAATTTATATATGTAAGGAAACATTAAGAAAATTTATTTCTTTAAAGGGGTCGGTTTTTGCTCACTTAAACATAATGCTACATTTGTAATTCGCAAAAAAAAAAAACAAAATCCTTTTTCCCGCGAAGTTGCACAAATAGCAAAAAGTTAAAACAAGGAAGACCAGGTAGAATATATATATATATATATAATACAACAAAAAGCGTAAAGTTCGTCCACGCTCTCTGGATTCAGCGTACATAAATTTCACTGCATCTCGAGTAATAAAAAGGAAGCTCAACAGCTTAAATCACACTTTCTACAAAGTACCACTTGAGACATTTTTTTTTTTTTTTCATCATTTCTTTCATATTTTCTTTACAATTATCGTCAAACTATATTATTTTCCCCTTATAAATATTTATTTTTTAATTTTGATTTTAAAAAAATGAATATTTATTAGAATAATTAATTTTTAATTTAATCGATGATTTTAATTAAAATTTAGAAGAAATTGAATTTTTAAATTAAATTATTTAAAAATTGAAAATAAATTAAATTTTAAATGAGATTTTTTTTTTATTTAGTGAAAATTGTTTTTGTATTTTTTAATGAAATGTAAATATTTCTTTTTAGATTTTAATTATAATATAAATATAAATATAGGGTGAAAGTGGACTACAGTGTAAACACTGTTTACAGTTTTTTTTTCAATTTTCTGGAAAAATACTTTTGAAAATTTTATCAAACTGTAAATATAAAATATAGTTTTTTTCCTGCTCTTTTGAATGGTGTAAAACTTTTTTCAAAAATATTAAAAATTTAGGGGAATAGTGTCAGGGTTGGACACAGTTTTGGTTTTTTGTTTAGATAAATTCAGTTAATTGTGGTATATGGGTGGAAAGATCTACAAAAGAGGAACACTTTTGCTGTGGACCGTAAATTGATTGGTCCAAAGTTAAAAAAGTTATAAACATTTAAAAAAAAAAAAAATCTAGTCAGGGTTAGACTTTTCAGTCAGGGTTGGACACTTTTTGAAAATCGAAACGCATTATTGGTAAAAACGTAAAATAACATTTGTAATGTTTTTTATTCTTATTTTTTCATGTTTATCTTTACTTATTGTTTACAAATTGTAAAGCTTCATGGGTTTAAAAAAGGAATGAACTCAAATTACAAAAAATAACGCTTTATTGTTCCAAATAACTCAATGAAATGATGAACAAAATTTATACAATTTAAGTATTATTTTTCTAATATCTTTAGCACAATTTTGCACTGAAATATCAATAAAATAAAATTTATTTATAAATTGTATCAAATTTATAAATAATATGGGTGTCCAACCCTAACTAGAAGCATCATTTTCGAATTGTGCTAACCATAACCAGACATGTGTCGCGATTCGATTTTTCATTTTTTTTCTTTTTAAATTACGTACCCCACAATTCATTCAATAAGCTTACCTTGCCGAATTCTTGCTTTTTTTACACATTTTTGAGGTTTATTCACAAGTCAAACAAAACTTTTTTTGTCTCTTCGATTGCACCGAAGTCACAGGAGACGCTACTTTTGATTCTCCAAAAATGTAATGCCACAAAAAGTTAGGTTACACTACTAGAAGATTCGTCACGTACGCACACAGGTGGCGCTAGTGTTCTTATTTTAAAAAAGCCAAGTGTCCAACCCTGACAAGTGTTCAACCCTGACACTATTCCCCTACTTTTTTTTTTGAAAATTAAATTAATATTTTAACATTTTCTCAAAAATTGGCAGTTTTTTAATTAAAATTTTTATTTTTTTTTTAAATTTAAAATATACAGTATCAAATGAAACTGCGATTGTGCAGAAAATAAAATTTTTTAATTTAAATTTTAGAAAAATGTATATTAAATTTTTTATACAAATACAAAAAAGTGTTCAAAATTTTGTTAAATTAAAATATTACTACGGTTTTGAAAAAAAAAATGATCCACTGTTGCCCAACACTCTTCCCTACTCTTATATTTATTGATTAAATCACATAAAAAAAAATCTAATTATATATAGTGAGGCGAAAATATTAACTGGAATAGATAAATATTTTTCTAAATACACAGGGAAAATTTTTATCCATTTTAGGGAAAAAATTGCAATTATTGCTAGAAATAAATTCTTCTTTGCGCAATATATATGTATATTTTAGA